CAGGGAGACCTGCCGGAGGAGCCATAGCTCCGGCAGTCCGTGGGTCACGGCCCGAACCCCATACCGTGCCGTTGGCGGTGGCGTAGGGCTGCGCATGATGCTGCGGATGGTAAAATCCGCCAGGTGTTGCCGTCTTGGGGTATGCAGGCACGTTCATGCTGGGGTGCGCACCAAGCACGGGCGCCGTCTGTTGTCCTTGAACGCCGCCGTGCTGCACAGGGTGCGCCGTGTCGTTGCCGAGGTTGCTCATCTTAGCGGTGTGTAGCTCGTAGCTGTGAAGCGTGCACACGGCTGCTGTGTGGGATGTGGGTTGTGGCTCTCACCTCGCGCTGTGTTCTGCTGTTTGCTTAGAAAAGCGGCGCGTTTGGTTCCTGTCTGCACTCCAAAGTTGTGATGCGGGAATTCCCTCATATGGGGCTCGAAAGCCCCATATGAAATCATGCAGGAATTGACTCTTTACACGCCAGGGCGACGGGATTCCCGCGGGAATATAACGAACAGCCCGCTACCGCTTTCAAACTCGTGAGGCGGGAATTCCCGCATATTTCTGGATTTTCACGTGCTAACCCGCATGCGGGAAGCGGGAATCGGAGTTTGAAAGATGTCTACTTGTATCTCAAGTATCTTGCGGTTTTCGTGTATGATCCACGGGGTTGAAACCACCTCCTCTCCTCCACCGTGGTTGTGGTTGTAGATATGGTGTGGACTTTGTTTTAAGAAAATACTGCTGGAATACATACACTCGCAGAAAAATCCCCTTCGAAAGACTTTGAGATACAGTACGTACTACCAACGTCGAAGGGCGTGTGTTCAATCAAGTCTTTGTGCCGTGAGTTCTATAATTTTTTCTTGCTTTGGAACTGCTGCTGCAGCGGTGATGAACACAGCAGCGTGGCGTAAGTCGTGCCAAAGGTTAGGTTTTCGCGCCTACCAAAGGTGTACCTCCTCCCTCACACCTTCCGTTCCTCCCTGGCCATAGTTACATGATGGTTGCTGGGCGCCCGAGCGCCTACAGGGTGCGATGGAATTCGGTCAAGCGTGAGGGAGAACGAACAGCAGGTTTGGCCATCGATCGGTTATAAAAGCGGTAAAGGTCTGACTCAGCAGTGTCCCCCTCACCCACCACACAAGAAACGAGGAGGGTGCTGTAATAGTTTATCGACACCCGATCGACACGTGCAAGGAATGGCACCTCTCGCTGTCTCCGTCTCTCCCGACCAGAACTTTCCCAAACTACCCTATCCGGCGGCTTTTCGGCAGCGCCTCTCTCTTGGTGGTAACACATTCGAGTGCTCTGTCGTACAAGTCGATCAACACCTACATACGCAGAACAAAACACCTAAAGCAGGTGATACGAGTTCGTCGGAATTTTTCGCTCCGGTGGTATGCATATCAATACACACGCTCTCGTTGGCCTTTGCAGATATGTAGTGGTAGGTCACAAAAGAAAAGAGAGAAGGTATCGTAGGCGTTGGATAGGCCAGACCGCCGGTGTTCAACGCGGGGAAGACGACAGCCACAGCAATTCCAACGCCAAAATCGAAGGCAGCTTGATGGGAGCGGCGGGTCTACATAGTGTTTTCTTTAACCATCGAACATTGTGTGGGTTGCAAACGAAGGGGCTAGGCTAGTGCTACAAGAGTTGGCCGTTATTGCGAAAGAAATGTGAGACCGAACAGGAGCAGAAAATGTCTCGAGCATCATCCACGAACGTTAAACAGCACGATGCACACTCTGTAGTCTGTGTGTACGGGCCAGTGTTTGGTGCTGATTGCATAGGAGAGAGAGAGCCCAAGGACAGCCGAAGGAAGTTTTATGTACGCTGGCGCTGACTGCCGGAGAGCCCCAAGTTTATATGCGCACCTGTCCGAAGGCCCAGGCCATCCCGAACAGTTATCTACTCTTCATCGACGATCTCTCCGGTGCTGGCTACATTATGTCCAGTACTTGTGGGCCCTCAATATCGCTGGCTGAATGGCGCCGGTGTAATTGCTGGACACTGGACACGTACTGGATCATCAAGTCATTCTGTACTTTGAAATAGCGCCGGTCCCTATGAACGGTGCCGATATGCCGATCGATGCGCCAAGCACATATCGGCATTCCCACTATTTACTGCATCGAGAACAAGCAGCCCTATAATTATTATAAAGGTGTTTTGGGGCCTTTCGCCAACAACCCAGTCAGTATCGATCCCAAGATTAAGATTGGCACTCGAAGTTTTTATTTACGTTCGTGGAGAGGCTCTAATACTATTATATAGTAGCGGATGGCTCGGTGCGGAGATAGTCTGTCCTGGATTCGAGTCATCCGACAACCCAAATTGACCATAATACGCGCGTTTTGTCATGAAACAAGGCGAAACGAAAGAGTGCTCGTGCGATACCTTTACCAACTCGAGTCTGATCACGCACAGCAGTGTGTCGTGGGGGGTGAGGTGTTTCTGGAGGAAAAGTGCCTGTAGAGAGGTTTAAGGCGTACGGACCGGGGAGGACCGTAGCGGGAGAGAGAGTAGGGAGGGGAACTCTCGATTCACATATACGCCAGAAATGGTAGACGCAAAGTTTCCCTCCGGAGTGGGCTCATGAGGGCACAAAGCAGTGTAATAAAAGGGTTGTAAGCGAGATGAGGGTAGATGCAGGCAGCAGGACCAGCCCGCAGCCGGCGGCCAGCTGTCGTGTTTTGACTCCAACAGCCCGACGAACCTCAAAGAAACCAAAAAGATAACGTTGTGTGCTGCTCGGGAAACCGTGGAAATACAGGTAGCTTTCTCTGACGCTATGATGTCGTTGCCAATCTATCTTAGACCCTTTTCTTAGAGGGAGATGGATTCGCTTGGGTCATATTCTGAACATGGTAAAAAATACAAACGTTCGAATCTGTACTGCTGTCGTTTGGACAACGGTCCAATGGCCCGCAGTTGCCCGAGAAAGTTGCGTGCCGCACGGGTCAAATGCAGATACCGGAAAACGGCACGGAGGGGGTGAAAGTATGAGTAAGAGTTTGAGCCAGATTTCTCGGTATGTCGCTTGATTCGAGCTTGAAACGCGTCCCCGAGATGATTCCCGAAGCCGAGAGGGAAGGTTCGGCCACGGTTACAGATGTTCCTTCATGAATGTTAGATTTGTACTTGGAAGGATCTGTAGGTTGTCGTATGCATAGATCTTTGCGTTTTTGTAGATTTCCTCCGGCCGCCGCGAGGGAGAGCTCACACGGACACATACACCCACGCGCACCCAAACATACACCCCGGCACATACACACAATCACACCCTCTCTGCCGAAATGACCTCCCACCTCCCGGCTGCTGTCTGCTACACCTCGAAACAGATATCGTACCACGTCGGTGCAAGCCAATGGAATCTAAGCCACTTTCAGAGGTAGTTCAATAGAATATACAAGACTTTGGTGACGTTCCGTCCCTCCTCTTCCTGCGTGCGATGCCGAGGAGGATGCGCGACTTGTGGCACGGCAGTAGCAGCAGCAGAACAACATTAACAGTCGGCGGTCTAAAAGCCCCAATGACTCCGCCCATCAACCGCTCCGTCCAGCCCTTGGCAGCTATTTATCAATAGCTGGCATTCGTCAGGGGTACAGAAAACACGAGTGGGGAAGGAAGAGGAAGGGCACACGCGACCGACCTCACACCAACCCATAGGGTAAGGTCGGTTTAGGTCCACAGCCACGGAGCGTTGGGGCACCACCCACCCACGAAAACCTCGTCGTTGTCAATCTCACGTACAAGTACTTATCGCAACCCTCGCCCTCCAGGAGTTGGTTGCACCTCGCCTAACCATGGGTATTGTGGGTCGTCCGTGGAAGGCCCGTGGTTGAAGAATTGAACCATGGGTGTTCGGATGTGCGTCTCCGATGCGCGTTGTTACGACGGTCAATGTATGCACGTTCATATGCATACATGCATGGTATTTCACTGTCCCGCTCACGCTGCCTCTTTCTTGAAACACATCCAAACCACCTGCGCAGTCTTCGCACCTGCGCGTGTTCACCCCTATTTAGCTATGTATATGCATAGCTGACAGCAACAGGCCACCCGTTCCTCTCCAAGTGCGGGAAATTGTGTGTGCAGCAACGTGCGCAAAGTCAACTCGGACTACCGTACCGTCATCTTTGCGGAACATCGTCGGAACAACTCGTCTATGTATACATAGGTCGTACCGCGTCAAATTTGCCGGGAACCGGCGAACCGGAAACATAACCGCGACTTCTGCGGAAGCTCCCATTCCCAAACCCAAACCCAGGGACGGATGGATTAGCCATAACCCGAGAGGCGTTTATTACGCGGAAGGAACCCTTAATGTAATGAAGCCTTCGATTTAGATCATGCCTCGTCTTTCTTCTGTCACTGATTTGCGGCCCGATATCCCTTCTGCTCGATTGGTTGCTGCTGTCACGTCGCAGAGATTCCCAGAGCCGGTTCCGGGAACGTTCTTTGTCGACCTCTCTTTCGAGCTCGTCGGAGCAGTCGGATGCCGGCCAGTCTACGACATCCAGGAATGATGATGGGCCTTTCGCTTCTGTCAGGCCGGAGTTCTTGTCGGTACATGATCGCACGCTCACGGGTGAGTTTATTAGGAAAAATATATACAACATTTAAATGGTTGCTATTCCCCGTTCGAGATATAGCCACAGTAGGGGGATGAGTTTATGTACTTCCCGTACGGTTTCGGTTCAAAATATGCCAAGAGCTTGTGGGAGGCGACAAGCGGGTGCGGTGACATGCTTTGAATTGGCTTCGGGAGTAAGGCAAAATACGTATCCCCTTGCCTCTCCGTTTGGAGTCGACCTTGGGGGGGATTTGCTCCAGACGAGGAGAGGGTGTTCGTTATCAAGCCTTCTGAAGTCGGATGGCCTGGTCGAGGTTTCGTGATCCACGACCTTCGCCACAAACCTCGCTCACGCCCCCCCCCGTTTCCGCGTCCGTTCTTTCCTCCTGTTGGGGTGAAAACCGAAAACCAGGCAAGTCTGCGTCCGTACCCACGATGCCGCCTCCCCCGGACGCCTCGGCGTTCTTGACCCCCCGCCGCCAACCCGCCGCCGGGATGCTGCCTTTCGGAAGCCCCGACGACCGTGGGAGCAATTTCTTTGAGGGCGGCGACGGTCATGACGAAACGGGCGAGAATCTGGACGGAACCGGCGGGACCACCGGCGGCGGCGGCGGCGGCGGCGGTGGTGGTGACGGCGGAAAGGGGGGATTCAAGCGCGGCTTCAAGCGCATGCTTCACGGCGTGCCGAGCCCGTCTCACTTCCGAAGGTCGATGTCGTTCCAGGGCTCCCTGACGGCTATCTCTAGCGCCGCGAACAGGGTCGCCACCGGGGCGATGACCCCTATCCGTCGACGCCGGGAGCGGCGGGAAGGCAGGAAGGGAAGGGCGGGGGCGGGCGGCGACGGCGACGGCGACGGCGACGCCACCCCAGGTAGGGGCAACGCGGCGACCGCCCGGAGCGGGAGAGGAAGCAGCTCGAGACATCGCTCTAGCCGCCGCGGCGTCGGTAGTGCAGCAGCGTCTGCTGCTGTTGCTGCTGCTGCTGCTGCTGCTGTTGATGATGATGCGAGCTTCTCCACGAAGGAGGACGAGCCTCGTTCTGCAAGCGGCAAGACGCACAAGAGAGGACGAACTGGTCCGCCCGGGGTTCGAGGAGGCGGTAGCTCGTCGGGTGGGGAGACCCCGGGCGATGCCCCGGAGCAGTTGGCTTCGACGACGCCGTTGCCCCAGGAAAGGACCGGCGGCGGCAGCGGCAGCGGCAGCAGCGCCCGCGGAGGCCGAAGGCGCAGCGGCGGCAGGCGGCCGCCCTCCACCAGCCGCGAGAACGGGTCCTCGGTTCCGAGGAGCGGCATCAGAAAGACATCGTCGCCATCCTCCTCCTCGGTTTCGGCGGCCGTGACACAGGGACATCCCCGACGCGCGACGACGGGTTCTGACGCTGCTGGGTCGGTCTCCTCGCGAGGCCCAGAAGGGAGCGGTGACGGTGGTGGTGAGGGTGCCGCCACCGCGTGGTCGTGGGACTCGTCACGAGACGAGGGCGTTGCTGCAACAGGTGGGGGGGCTGCAGGGGCTGCGCCCGCCGGGCAGCAGTGGGGGGGGGTGCAGCAGCAGAGGGAAGAGCGGGCCGACAGCGGCAGCAGCGCGAAGGACGGCCGCCACCCGGGTGGTTGTCGCAGCAGCGCACTGCCCCCTAGCCACGACCAAGGTGAGAGAGAGCTACATGGCTGTTGTAGCTCCTTTGCCCATATGGGGCAGGGGGCAGGTCGATTCGCTAGAAGATAGCCAGGGCAGGGTGTGCGTGAACGTCAGCTTTGGTGCCGAACGGTTGCTCGTATTCTTTTTGTGGTGGTAAAGAGCAGCATGTATATACTGTTTTCCTTTGTTCCACGTCGGCAAGTCTTGACGACCCGGACTCTTCCAACCACAGCCAAGAGAGAGGGGGTGAGTCGTGAGTATGCTTGGTATTCTCGCCACAGCCCCACTGGCTTGCATGCCGTCGGGATTAGGCACATACTTCCAGCCCAAAGCCTGTGTTTCTGACTGTCGTAGCCAGGAAGGGGACTGGATTTATTTGGTTCAATACCGTTCTTGTTTCGTTTCGCGCTTTTCTCGAGCGGAACTAGTGCAATCGAAGTCACCATGTGCCTCTCTTTACGACCGCTTTGGATCCACGCACACGCACTGCAGGGCACAAACCACTCGGCAAGCACAAGTCGTGGTCCTTGGCTTCCTCCAGAACCCATGGTCTGGCCCCTCCACCCCATCCGGACGAGACGCCAGCAGAAGGCCGCGGTGCCTCAACCCCCGCGTCCCCTGCTCGACCCTCGTTGGATTCAGACCCTTCGCTTTCCTCTGCCCACGAGCAGCAGCAGCAGCAGCAGCAGCAGCAGCAGCAGCGGTCGCGGACGCGGTGTCGATCTCCATCGGACGAGCTGCACGCGGGAGGGCAGGGCTCCTCGCAGCTCCTGGCGAGGGGAAGGATGCATTTCAACACCGGGTCGGGTGGGGCGTCGCACATGTTCGCGTCCTCCCCGAAGGGAGCGAGGGCGGCCGCTCGACGGGCCCGGGCCTTCCAGCGGCACGCCTCCGCGTCCTCGGTGTGGGCAGCTCAGTCCGACGCCGCCAAGCGGGAGGACTCGATGCTGAAGAGCCTAACGGCGGAGCGCGGCGTCGTCGTCGAGAGTCCGGTCCTCGAGAGTCCGGTCGATGCTGCCACCGAGGAGGCTATGGGTGGGGCGGCAGCGGTAGAAGAGGGTGACGGAGTCGGTCGGGAGGGGGTTGGCCGGGCACCGCCGGCTCCCCGTCCGAAGGAGGCGTTATCGTCGTCGTCACGAAGGGCCGCCGTTGAGCACCGCGGCCGTAGCAGCAGCAACGGGGGGGGGTTGGTCGGCCGGCGGTCGCCGATGCCACTGTCGTTCGTGCCGCTGGCGCCGGCCCCGCCGCTGCTGTCCGGCGCCACCAACACCGTCCAGCCCAAGACGTCGAGCGGGGGGATCGATACCGTCTCGTCCGCTTCTTCGGAGGCGCTGAACGGCGGCCGCGATAGCAGGCGTGCGCAGGCGGCGGCGATGGCAGGGGTGGCACCGTCGGCGCAGTCCCCGAACGGCGTCAGCAAGGGAGACGACCCGGCCGGTCCGGAGGGCGGCGGGAGGGACACGCCGTCGCCGACACTGGCCCTCGCGAGGGCCGGTCTTCGAAGCGTGCCAAAGGAACACCGCAGGGAGCCGCGAGCGGTGGCGGCGGCGGCGGCGGAAAAGGCGATCTCCATGGTGGGCAAGAGCGTAGAGAGGGGGGGTGGCAGTGGCGTCGAAGCCGATAGCAGTAGCGGGAGCGGGAGCGGAGTACATACGG